TTTCACCATCACTCCCTCTGATCCTTTATCAAACTGACAAGGTTTCTGAGTATTCGTGCAGAACCAATTAGTAAGTGAAGGTCATGCCAACTTACAGAACATCCAGCAACTCCTCCATTAACAGGCTTTAGAGACTGATGATGTCCAGGTCATGTGATGGTGAGTAACCATCCTATTCCTACTTTCTGACATTGGGTAAATTATGTTTTATGCTGCACTTAGTGTATTAGGGATCTGTGTAAGATAGAAACGGAAATCACTAAAATTATATCTGGAACTAATAATAAGCATGAATAAGAAATTAAACCTGAATTTTAAAAACGCATATTAAAATGAGGGAATCGCTTTCTACTAAAATGGACAACTGCTTTGAAAGTAGATGAATTACATTTTTCTCCCACGTAATTAATTTAATATGACTTCAAAGACTACAGAAATAACTTTGAACAGCAGTTAGAAACCACTAACTGAAGGCAGAAGCAGTGGTTTCTAATATAAAATACAAATATTAAGAACAAAAGTGCATGATCTAATAGCTTTTTATCTAAAATTGACAACCAGCGACTTAATCGTGAATTACACATAAATTACAAATTGCACACATTGATATTGCAAAGTCATTCAACATATTGCTGCAGCTCTTAGCTCAAACACTGCACAAATACAAAACCTGACACTCTTCCAGGGTGTGATAACCCTCCATCCTGCCTCAGGAAATATCCGGAGATCACTTCCCACTTCATCAGGGTGAGCAGACACACGGCTGAGCCACCTCAGTCATGATCTCATTCACAGACAAAATAAGGCCCAACACATGCATGGAGCCTGAAACATGAACCTGTTTCTGAGAACTCTCTCATTAGCGGAAAAAAAGTGTTTTCGCAAACATTCTTCACAATTCAAAGTAAAACTTATTCCAAGGTCTGAATGTCTTACCAATTATTTCTTGCAAGAGCAGCACATGCACGCATTTCCTGATGACTTCTTTGTATTCACCAGGGACGTGACTAATGGTCAATAAGTATATTCTTTCAATAGGTAGGTAATTGTGAAGCTGTCATCTCAAGATGGACAGTCTCATACTCTGAGCTCTCTTCCCGGTTGAGAGGTGAGTAATGTCTGTGAAGGACCGTTATTATACTTTTGCCTTGCTGAGGAGGGAATTAAGAAGTTAGATGCAGTGGATGGTGATTTAGGAGATTTTAAAGGGATGAAGAAGAGTGAAAATTCACAGAACTCCGCCAAATGTAAAACTATACAAGTTCTTTGTTTATATTGTTTTTGTAGGAACAATGGATTCGACTTGCTTGTGATCTGTTATAATTATCTGAGGAGAGTTATGTCAGTCATAAAGTCTTTATTTCTTCTTGAAATAATAAATGATTCATTTTAAAATTATGTTATACTCGTGGTATATGCTTTGTAAGTATTGTATTCTGCGCTCTTATCAGAATGCCCAAGTCTATAAACTCCTTTACAAGCCTGAATGTAATGGCTGATCAGTCATTCAGCTCTACAGAGGCCTGGCAGTTATCCATTCATTTCATACATGTATTTTTGGGGACGAGATTAAGCCAAAAAAATAAATTTTCCATGTTAAATATTGATATAAATCAAAGAATCGGTCAGTTCCTTCTGTCAACTTTTAATTGACCTCCCATTTGGTTTCTGTATTGAAAATCAAAGACATGGACAGATGAAAAGCTACAATATTAATTTGTATAAATATACATGGAAAATAAAAACTGATACATTACGTCGATGCATTCAAAGATCAAGCCATTTTTTGGATCTTCATAAGATCATTTTTTGATAATGTGGTTTCATCTTGAGATGGGTTGAGTTTCTGTTTCCTGAGGTTTTAGCAATTTCCTAAAAAAATAAAATAAATAATAATAATACAGTATCTACAAAAAAAACAAAATTGTAAAACTGTTGGTATATCGTTTAAGAAAAGGATATGAGGAGTCAATGCACCTTTCCAAAAAGCTGTCCTGCACATACCCATTAATATTGAGCAAAATGGGTTTGATATAATTCCTCTGGACACATAGTGAAATATTTACACAGTCAGCCAAAGCATCCGGCAGAGTATGCAGTCAGCTCTCTGTATGTTTGAGAGAAGCTTTTCATCCGTCTGCAAACCAACATTGTTTCATTTCTTCTTTGTTTAAGCAGGTTGTTATTCATTAAGGATATAGTTTTGTGCCAATTTGTCAGACAGCTTCTTACAGACTAAATGTTTCCAAAACGTTTTGCGATGGTGACATTAGAAAGGTTTAGTCAAAGCAGTGATTATGTTAAAGCTGTGAAACCTGACAGCTTTAACATAATATTAGTACTTACTAAGGTAAATACTGTAGAATAAGATAAAACATAGTCTAACAACAGTTTCACAGATGTAGATCTCATGTACCAATATGGAGATTTTGTTACATATAGGTTCCAAGTTTTGAAGGCTTTCCACCATCACTGTCTGTTTTTGTTACATTTTTTTGCTGGGTGAGAATGAAATATACTTAATTTAGTTTGTGTGTGCTGATACTATCCATAAAATACCAAAAGTCAAATCATCAAGTCAGAATTTTGAAATAAAATTGATATCAAGTTATAAAAACTTGATCAGCGTTAACTAATCCATTTTACACATAAATGTCCCAGTGTTACACTTTAACTTAGAGAAACACCAAGCAATATACCTCTAGAGTCAGTTTTCATACTTTTTAAATATGAAAACTGATGCTGTAAATGAACCGTCACCTTTACTGTGACTGTGCACAGTGCACATCTCTGAGGTGTCACCTTCTTACTTTACTGCCACCCTTTAACAACAGGATCCCTGATATCTCATACATACACATCTAAGGATACACTCCATTTTCAAGAGTGTGTGCCAAAAATGATGGCGTATGAAATGAGACAAGGTGACAGCAGGTCTACAGCAAAGAAAGAAAAGGCCACAATCAGCCGACAAGATGTAGCCATGTTTAGGCAGCAAGAGCTGTTTACTCCTGCTGGATATGGACAATAGAGGACACAACATCAGCTAAAAGAAATATGATGTAACAGAGATGACTGAGATTAGAATTAGTTAATTTTAATGGGACCACTGATTTGGACTCCATTGTCTCTTGTTGCTGAAGTCTAAAAGTCATCTTTGAATTGATTTTTAATCTTGAAGTATGAGCTACACGTAAAAAACATTTTTTATATGTACAGCTCTAGAAAAAATGAAGAGCCCACTGTTCTGAACCCTATTGAAAACCTCCTGGTTATTCCACCAAATATTGGTCTCTGAACTCTTCCTGAGTTAAAACATTAGCATTGTTGTTTCTAAATAAATATGAATGTGTTTTCCTTCCATTATTGCATTATTGCTACCGAAGATCTCCACCAGTAGAAAATCTGATGTGGCAGAGTAAGCGATGCGCTGCTAACCATCTTCTTCTGAGATATTCTCAGGGGGAAAAGGAGAAGATATTTTATGTAATAGAAGTGCATTCAGAGCAGAAACAATAACCAAAGACAAATCACCAGAGCTCTGCAGAGGAACAACAAAGAGCACACAGTAAGCAGACAATAGAACATTTAAATGGAATACTGAACCATATTTGCTTTTTTACTACAACCTCTACTATGACACATGACGATTTTTAAATCAAAATATTATGTATTTTCCAGACAGATTGTGCTATAAAATAGAATCAATTATATTCCATTCAGCTTTTTTTTTATAAATATAAAAATGTTGCATTTGTGAAACACAACTTCATATTTTGAGGCCTTGAAATAGGGCCTCTGTTTCTTCAAGGAGGTCCTACTTTTTCCAACACATTGCCTTCAGCACTGTATCACTAGAATGCTCACCATTATGTCATTTACGATGGTATAATGGTCTTAACAGCACTGGACTAAGAAGAGGTCTATTTGATAAGTTCAGAATAAACACAGTTCCATTTAGGTGTTTGCTAAGTGCTGCTGCCGCTAGTCTGAAGGGGCTGAGTGAGAAAGGTTTCTGAGCGGGTTGCTGCTTCGAGGAGCTTTACTTTGTGTGGGCACAGCGCGTCGGCCCTCTGAATGTTTCCATCAAAAGCCTCTCCAATTAACACACTTGTATCATTATTAATAATAGCATTTGTTATTACAGAGGCAGCCATCTTTGATGATTCTGGTTAATGAAAACATAACAACTGACTATATACCTAGATCAAGTCCCCTATAAAAATCTTGACACTTCAAATAAAAATAAAAAAAAAACATTTTTTCTCTCTCTCTCCTTTACACATAATAAAGAAACAACCTCCAACAACCTAGAATAATTAATAAAAAAATAATAAAAAGACATATCAGACTTTTATTGATGAGAAGAAAACAGCAGAGGAGGACAAGGGGGAACTGAGATTGTGGTGATGAGTGGGAGGATGTGTGTTGGCCGTTTGCCCAACTATGTTTGCATATGAGAGGAAAAGGCCAAGGGAAGAATGAGGACTGTGCCGCTAAGCTGCAGGATACTTTTCATAAAAACAGACTGATTTTAGACAACACTTGGGACTGAATCTGGCTGTGTGTAAAAGTGACAGGTGTGTTTTTGTGATAGTGGAGCTGGAGGGAGGCTCTGTCAATGTTTAGCCCTGGTCCACAGGTTTCATTGGCTGAATTAAATTAGGTTTTCTAGGAAGAAAAAACAACAACAACTCTGAGAAGCAAATCAGGACAGCTTGTTGACATGATGATGTCTGCCTTCATCTCCAGGAATCAGGACATTTGTGTTGGCCAATTAATAACATCTTAAATACTGTTCAAGTGTGACTCTTGGGTGACTTCAATACTGCGTCTGCTAATATAAAATGAAACCCAGAGAGAATTAACTCTGTTTCTGCTTTTATTTTAAATTAAAGTCTGACTTAACCTTTTGAGATTTGCTTTCCTTTGGGAATATACACGTCCTCTCCTCCCATTAAGTATTATAAACCCAGAAGCAATCTCCCGAGGTAACCTACCTAACAAAAGCAATTTCACCTCTCTTGCTGCTTTCTCTCCATCTTCTCGGAGGTTTTTGTCAATCATCTTTGACCTCTCCGCCGCAGCCTTATCCTCAGCACTTACAGTGCAACCCATGGATCCGGAGGCAGGGGCGCACCGACCACTTGCGCAAAAAAAAAAAAAAAAAAAAATAAAAAATGTATCTCTGCTGATTTCAGGGGAAATAGATGGAGCGGCTGGTAGGGAGAAAATACCCTACTCCTGATTATTGATGTATGTATGAAATCGGTGTCCCTGCTCTGTAGCTCTCAACTGGAAGCTGTTTGGTCCATGCCGAGAAGCTCCGAACCTCCTCTCCCCTACATCCATGCATCCAAGCACGGACTGGAGACGCCTGCGCCCGTTCCCCTCGTTCGTCTCGTCAGCCTGGTTTGCTGCTGAACAGCGCGTCCCTGCGTGGTGCAGTCAATTAGTCTCGCGCGAAAATCATCAGATATCGTCGCGCGAAAAGTTGTCAACCGGTTGCGTTGACGTCAGTTCGGCAACTTGTCGCGATAGTCCAATTAAAAGCAGGTGAGCTCTCCACGGACTGGCCCGAGCGAAACCAATTAGAGGGAAAAAACGAGCCGGCGCGGAGAGACGTCAGGGGGGAGTGCTGTGAGCGGTCTGCAGGGGGCGCTGTTCCGGCCTCACTCCTCTGCATTTCTGCTGACCATAGGTCGACAAAAACACAGCAGCAACGACAGCTGCAGTCACACAAAAACCGCTCAGTCAACGGTAAAACGGGAAAGGTGTCTGTGCGTCACATGTTTATGAAATGCCTTTGCACGTAATTAGGCCGCAGGAATAACTAGTGCACAGCGCCATCGCCTGGCATTTAGCTGAACATAATCTCCGCCAAAGAGTACCAGTTACTAGCTTTCTTGCTACATGAAATGGAAGCATATAGAAAAAAAATTAAACATATATGTTTCCTTAAAAAAGTGCACATGAGAGTGCAGATATAATAAACTGCAGAAGTGTCTAGTACTAAGTAGTATTTATTGCTAAGGGTCTCCAGATTATGTTTGCCAGCAGCGTGCAGGGTCATGATGACCCACAGAGCTCAAAATAAGTTTAGCCTTGACAAGAGCTCTGATAAGGTGCAAATAGCCTGTGTTGTGGGAAAAATACTGTGTTGATGGTTGGAGACATAAAAATAAAAAAATAATGTCTCAACTGGCTCAAAAGTCTAATATCATAAAACAATTAAATGTGCAAAGCTTGTGCAGAAATAAAACTGCCAGAACCATATGAAAGACAAATGAAGACAATAAAGGCAAAATAAAAACATGTACAATTATTTTATTTCCAAACTAAAACTGTCCCAGCTATTTACACTTTACAATCTACTGTAAATAAGCATCACAAATATAAAATGTTTACATATATATACATTATTTATATAAAGTTCTGCTTTGTTGATCTGTTTAACATGCTGAAGCATAACGTCTCACACGAAATGGTTTACACAAATCATTTTTACTACAATACTGACTGGAGCTGAAGCCGTGAAACTGATTTAAAGGCATTTTGATACAGTAGGTAGTCTGTTGTTATTGATGGCATCATCTTCACAGCGGACTAAATGTTAAACAAAACAGCACAATACTAAAGAATGGTAATTACATCATAACATCCACAGGAAAGGCAAAAATATATATTATGTTAACAGAGGCACATAAGAAAATCTGTGTCAATCAGTTTCAAAAGTCTATGTAGGACATATAGTGTCATATTCAAGATGTATTTGTTTATCAAATTAAAAGTACCTTTTGAAAATAACAACCTTTAAGCAGGCATTAAACAAAGTCCTTATTAAGCCCACCTTCCTGTATTAAATTATTTTTATTGATCTTTTATAGGTGATATTCTAACATTAAATTTTATATTCTCATTAGCCATCAGTGGAAACCATCATAACTAACAGAAATAAATATTTGTGAATAGTATTGTTGTGAATCTTGTTTATTCAACTTTTATCTCAATAGAAAAACTACTGAGCTAATGAGAGCCTCATCTGCTATATTTATCCAAAATAGATGATTTATACTACAAGATTCATGACACAACTCTGTTTCCATTAAAAAAAACTCACATGTAAAGGACTAAATACTCTTTGGAAACATGTTATATTTTGACATACATGTATGATAAAACCTTGCCTTATTAACACTGTAACACATTTTTGGTTTGTAATGATAATAATTTAAGCATTTCTGTAAACCTGAATTATAGTATTTAGTATATTTAGTCATGCCATTGTGGGTTCAGAATTTCTCTGAGAACCGTTTCGGGAGGTATTTGGTCAAATATGTAAATGTCGCAACATCATAACAATAGCAATTTTTCTGTCTTAATCATTCTACAGCACAGACAACAAAAGTTGCTAAATGTACAGGACATTACTACATCATGCAAGGCAGTAAAGTCAGATCCAAGCACTTTAAAAGCTCGTTAAACCTGCAGGATTAAAAACTCTGCAGCTGTGTCAAAAAGGCACAACACTTTATCTGCTGCAGACCAGGCACTTTTACCTTGTAGTGTATAAACATGCAGTAAGGTTTGGTTAAATTACTTTAAATATGTACAGTGCTCTGAAGGATGAGTTTATTTAGATAATACAGAAAGTTTGCGTATTTATTGGACCATTTGAACATTATTGGAAAAGGGACTTTTGTAAATGTGGATTATTAGCACCAGTAGTTTCTTGACTCTGTTGACTCCAGCCCTGATAAATATTTGTAAAAAGGATCAGAACTCTATTTTTTCTTTTTTTGTAGAACCGATAAAAATCCATAAAAATAAACTAATTTGCTCATGTTTATTAAATAAGGACTAGATTAGGGTAGTTATTTGTATTTGAAATCATTTACCACTTATAGCCCCTCTAAAATGAATGTAAATTAAGCATGATTATTACTTTTAATCTGATCAAGTAAAGCTTCATTTGTAATCAATTTCTTCCTGTTTTTCTGGGGTATGCATATGACACAGAGGCCATGTTTGTACCAGTTACAAAACAAACATGTAAACCAAGTAAATCAGATTTGGTAGAATTTTTTAAAATATTTCTAATGATAGAAAATAATTTCAAGTCTGTTTATGCCTCTTTACCAGGAATGCCTAGGAAAGATTGCCAAACCATGCTATTCAACTAATAGGATCGGCGTAATTGACTGTAAGATTATGATCGAAAATCACAGTATGCGTGGGATAAAAATCTAATAAAAGGAAATCTTAAACTTCAGAATAATTAATAAACACTGTCAGTTTTTGTCACCATAAAAGGAAAAAAAAAGTGTAATGCATTGATTTTCTGGACATAATCAAACACAGCAGTTAAATATAGATCCAAAATCAGAAAGGAGCTAACTAAATAAATATACACTATTTATTTGTTTTTGTGCCATTGCAAATGGTAAAAGGCACAGCAGTTTTAATTCATCCAGAAACCTTACTGAAAAGTAAAAATGTCATGCCACTTCAAAGACTTATTCTGCATGATGATGATGATGCCACATTGAACCAATTCTGGTTCCATGTGAGATTCCCTGACTGCTTGTTTTTGTGCATCTCATTTAGAACAATTAAAATAGTTTTTGTTTATCTACACAGAACCAGCTGCAGTTATTAGTGTGAAAGTAAAGCCTTAGAAGCAGGAGACAACCATTTCATCCTCCCGGGTTGATTTTGTGGTGTAATTTTAATGAACTGCATTAGAAACTCTCTGTAATATAAAAAAAATAAGTTAGAAATTGCAGCAAATAGAAGATTTTTGTTCGGGTGTCTGCCTTCCACGTAGCATTTATTATGGGGTGTATTTTGTATTGTGGCACACCCAGACTTTGTGCTGGACAGCCGATAATGTGTTCAACTGAGGTGAACGCACTCCCTTTCTAAAGAACATACCGAACAACCCTTTTCCAAACACTGCACACACAAATAAGCATTGAAGCAGCTGTTAGTGACCTCCAGCAGCCCGGCTGGTCCCTGACGTCCAGTCGATGAAAATGAAGCTCAGACTCATCACCATGAAGGAGATTCCCAGAGCAGCAAAACAAGAAGCCTTTAAAAAATATTTTGGAAAACACAGCAAAGCACTTAAGCCAAATGATCAACTTTTCAACATTATCTAAACTGTCAAATGTTGAAATTGAAGAATAGATCATGAAAGATGTTTGACGAAAGATATTTATGCCTCACCAGTATTTTTGAAGTGGAGGTCATGGGTTCATCCTCTTTGGGAACGATGCGGATGTAGAAGACAGCGGGGAAAATGAAAATGAGGCAGGGAGCTGATGTGGCACCTGAATCACATGAACACACATAAATTACAAATAAAGTACAAATTGGTACTTTCCTCTTCGAAAGGCTTTATCTGACCTCCTTTCAGGACATTGACAAACTATTGGGTCAGGTTGTGTATCCTGCCATGATGCAGAAGAAATCACTCACAAAGTCACTTACAAAATTGGCTTTAAGATTTTCATATTTGGTTATGAAGCTGTAGAATTATTTCAATATATTCATAAACTAATTGCCCCATTCGGAAAACAACAATAGCTTGACTCATAAACCACCCACAGTTCAATTTTTTGTCATGTGTACAGGATATGTTTTTTTCTAATCAAACCAATTTATATAAAAATTCAAAAATAAAACATTTTCTGGTTTTTATGTTAATTTGTGCTCTGTATGTCATTTTTAGAGCAGGAAAGGCTGCTTTGAAGATGTCGCCCCGAGGTCCTTAATGTTTTTGCCTTTGACTCATTAAACGTGACCTGCACCCTGAGGACAAACTTCGACAATAATATTGATTCTAGCTGTTACTTTCTCCTGGAACAAACATGTGTTAGTCACATGTCATAGTTCTCACTTCCAAGCTGTGAGAACAAGAGCCAACAACGCATAAAATTACAGTGCGAAGTAATAATAGCTTTTTTGTTTTCTGATTATATATTGTGAAAGATGTCTATCTTGGTCAGAGGAGGCATTTTTTTAAATTTGTGAACCATGTTTAATCACCCATGATGGAATTAATCAACAAAAACAAGTGAAATATAACCAGGACCTACTTAAGTTTTCCATTAAAATAATACTGTTATGCACTAACCAATGATGCCAAAGATGCCCAGAATGTTGGGAGCAAATATCACCAGCATGTTGATGAAGGCGAGCAGAATGAAGGCGATGCTGACATGACGTAACCAGTTGAAAGACTTGCTGGGAAATAACATCTCCTGGATGGCTCTGCGCACCTGCACATTTTATCGTGCGATTAAAAAATACATTAGTATATTGTGTCTGCTTGAAGTGTGGAAACAAACAAAGGGCTCAACTTACAGGGAACAACACAATTGGCACGGTCAGCGTTACAGCGGTGAGGACAGCCACTCGGACACACAGGATCAAAATGTCATAGGGATCGATGCGGTTGTACGTATGCAACAGCTCTGGCTCCACTTTACCTGCATGGACATTAAAATAAACCTAATTCATAAAAACATTTTAACAGGAAAAAATACTGGACAGCATTTTATTTCTACAGGCCACCACTAGAGGGAGCCTGCAATCTGTGTAATAAAATGCTAGTTTCTTAACCAAAGAGATGCAGAGACAACATCAATGTAAAGATGAAGGACTCTACAGTTTTAAAGCACTGCATGTAAATAGTTAGTTCTGCTGTCTCATTTTCTTGGTTGAGACAACAAACAAGAAAATGTTTGTTGTCTCAAACAAGACAACAAACACAAATCTGCTCTCACCATAAAAAGTCAGGTAGCCAAAGAGAGCAGCCAGAAAGTACATGGTGTACATGAGAAGGATGGAGATGTTGGAAACCTTTTGCATCTTTTTCTTTGTTGGACTGAAATTAGAGATTGGAAAGTTATGCGAATGCCACATTCTGCACTGACGTCTTGTTAAGTATCACAGGGTTATGAGGGGAGACTCACTTGCGTAGCTCGGTGTAGATGGGCAGAACCTCGGGGTGGCAAACAAAGGCAAAAGCCAAGATTGGGATTGTGTACGCCGTCTGTGAAGAACAATCTGTTCAGCACCTCTATGTCCATGTTTCAAACAATGATACAGGAATAAATAACCAAACACTTCAGCTGCCCACCTGTGAGTTAATTGTGAACATGCGTGGGGTGCAATGCGAGTCCTTGTCTTCATCTGGGAAACCGTCGCTGTAGTCATGGACCAGGCTGGAGTCGTTCAGGCCAAGGTGTGCAGCGGTGCTGTTGGTTGAGAACTCCTCAAATGGGCAAGGGATCTGAAACTTCTTATAGCTAACCTACACCGAGACGGGGAGGAAAGCAGGAACGCTATCAGAAAAATGTACCCAAGGATGCTGCTCTTATGTGAGAACTGGACTGACTTACAGCAGACAAAAAGAACACCATGCAGCTGAGAGAAAACCCGCTTGCATAACCAAGGTAACCTGAAAATGAAAAAAGAAGTTAGCAAACGCAGAATGAACTGAATTACAGAACTGATTCACAAGAAAAGAAACCTTCAAGCTTATCCTATTATTATTAAAGCTACAAAGAAAAAGAAAAAAAAACACTTGATCAGAACCACCAAATTATGGTGAGAGAGTGGAAACAACATGTTTTTGATGTCTGTTAATAAACCGATTATGTTGGACATGAGGGTGTGATTATCTGAAGGTAATTGATGAGAACCTGCTGCTCTCACAGCTGGCAGCAGGATAAAAACACGCTAATTGCTTCATGTCAGCGTACCACCTCCATCTGAGAGTGAGGCGGCTTAATGTTAAATGACATTTCTAATGAATCACTTCTTAACGTCAAAAATCTTGGCTGCAAAATAAACTTGAATGAAAACCTAAAAAATGATCCATCAATGTTATTTTAAAGTATTTAGTCCTCTCAAGATACTCTGAAATTTTTTTTAATGCTTTACCAAACTACTTTTTAAAGTTAAAATTATGAGACAATAAAGCATAACATTATAACTTTGATTTGAGAATTTAAGTAACAAACCACAGTATCACATAAACAACTAAAGAGCGTGTTTTCTGTATGACAGCTGATCTTATTTAAAGCACACTGATTTGTTGTAGGAAAATGTTTAAGAGGTGTCAGATAGAGAGTATGGTGAGAAGCAAACATGTCAATGAGCCAGTTAGCAATGTTTTTACTGTCAGAGGAGAGTTTCTAAAGTCTGACTGAAAGTCTTTGAAGTCAATCAATACTAATACTATAAAGCAATCATCAATACATTTTGAGTAAAAAAAAAAATCTGTAACAAAAGGACAAAACACTTTTTCTTCACTGGATAGGTGAGTTAATATTACTAATTTGCTGCTTATTTGCTGAATGCCAGATTATCAGACAGACGTTTTGAGTCACAATATGAAGAGTCAAAATTCTTCATAAATTAAGCTTTAAAACAATTTATTCAGATGATGATGTCAATCCAACCTGCTTTAATCTACATATGCTTACACTGAACTAGTGTCATATTCTGCTTGATGCACAATTGTTAGAAATCCAAGTCGATGCATCAAAGTTTCTCACCGAGCTGTTTCATCAGAGCGAGGGGCAGGATGACACAGGAAGAGACCAAGATGACCAGGTAGTTTCCATTCAAGTACCACAGACTGTTGGAGAGAAACCGAGTGTACTTTGGTGAGCTCAGTATTACAAACATTGCTACTGAGAGACAGACACGCAAACACATGCAATTGTGAATAATTGCTCAAACAAATTGTTAACTATGAAGCAATATCTGTCACAAATTTAAGTGTCCAATGTAACCTGATGGAAACATTCTCAGGCCCGAGGCTGTGGAAAAAATGTGTGTGCTTCTGTTGCTATCATCAGAAGTACTGGAATAGAGCGTTACATAACCGAACCAACTAAAAATATTCAATAAGTATGTTAGTGCTGACATGTATCTCACACCTCAATCACTCACCCAACGCAATAAAAAAACGAGCGCGGAAGAATTTATATGATCATAAACTACTTGCACTACTTTCTTTTTTTTTTAATCAACATCCTGTGTATGCTCTTTATTTAAGAGATTAATCATTTATCAAAGGGGTCTCATGTAAAGTGTGCTCCTCGCATGTGTGCTTGGAAATTTATTTCTGAGCTAATGTTTTGTGTCGAACCAATACAGTGGCTTTGTTGACGACATAGACAGTAAAAAGTTAGCAAAAACTTTCCACCAGCATATACATCACTGCATTTAGAATAGACTACACTAAAATAAAGTAGATATAGATAAACTGTTAATTTTGACTCAAAAGGTTACTGTCAGAGGACATAAACTTGGTGTGGATGGTTAAGCTCAACCCATGATAAACACAGAATAAAGTCTGTTATGAACTCGAAATACATGATCAATGTCACAAGTCAGGGAAGCTTGTTTTACTGAGTCTGAGAGAATGCAGACCAATAAAGAAATCCTCAATACCAAATTGGCACCTAAAATCTGAAGCTACCCATAATGATTGTCTTCTGGAGAATACTTTAGACAAAGACAAATTGAGCTATTTGAGCAAAAAGTATGTTTGAAGGAGTCGAGGTGACAATTTTTAATTTGAGAATATTGTACTACCAAGCATGGCCATGTTAGAATCATGCTAAGTGTGTGTTTGGTTGCCAGTTGTATTGTACGAAGTTCGTGAATAGTGCACAAACTTCAACTTTGCCTCAAATAAACAGACGGAGGATGATCCCGAACACACATTAAAGCTAGTTTTTGAACGGATAAAGCATTAAGTTTCTATAAGTAGCCCAAACTACAACATCACAGAAAGTTGTATTTATGCTTTAAGGTCATGCCAGAGCCAGGTCTTCAATTTGACCATATCTGATAGCAGCGATCAAATATCTATCCAGAATTAAATCGCAAGCTTGTTGATGACCCAAAAAAGGTCTTTAGTTTCTCTTGATCTTGCAGACGGACAATTATGAAAAACATTAGCAGTGGTACAGGCATATATTAGAGTTGGTAGTATAAGTTTTGCCCTGCATAAATGAGAGAAAACTGCAATAAGTTCAAACCTATATACCCCAATATAGTTTGTACACTTCACCGATGTATAATCACTGCTTCCTGAGAAAAGAAGGATTCTATTAAACTTTTTTACATAATATTGTATGCAGGACACAAACACTCTGATTTTTAATAGCATGTTTATTATCATGTCAACAGTTTTTTTTAGTGGCAATAGATTTTAAACCATTATCAGTGGAAAATGTCATATCACAAGCAGCAAGCAGCTTAAATAAATTACTGTCAATCCACTGAAGCGCTATTGTCGCCTAAATCTGGTGCACACAGAGGTTTTTGTGTCCTGGAGCCCCTTCATCTTTATAAGCTGCTGAGCCTGTTATTCTCGACCCCAAATGAAACAGAATCGGGGGGATAAACTTTCTGTTACAGGTCTCCAGGTTTGAGTGATGTCTGACGTAAGTGGCGTGTGGGGGGTTTGGAGGAGCCCCTTGACAGCTCAGGAAGTCACACACAGACAACAGGTCATGAGTCTTGTACCCTTTTGGTCACTAGGTCATTTTAGCTGATCAGTTTTCACACGCGAAAGTCACTGGTGACAAATGGGAGTCGCATCCATTGTGGAGTTCAGCTAAAAGTCAAGTTCTTCAGAGTCGCTCCAAGCTGTAATTAAGTCTCTGTCAGAGTCTTTAGGGTTCCTGAATTCCAGCAAACAATAATCAGTTCACAACAATTATTATCACACGCCTACAGCCAGGTTTAAGTGACTCAGAGATGCACAGTTTTGGGATAAACTCATTGTGCACTACATTTGACAGCACATTATTTTCCATTTAAGTCAATTTGTTGCAAATCCAGGTCTTGAGTAAATTCAAGAATAATCTTAACCACTTCCAAATGTTTGTTCAACTTCATTGCAAACCTGATCACATAATCAATTCAACAAGATCGAGCCGTGTCATGACTTGAAAGGGTCCAGCTGACTGCCACATGTCGTTGCTGCCTACTTACAGAACTACTGGACACAAATAAAGCTCGTAGCCAACCACTGAGCCCACATTCCTTTTTGTTCCTTTGATGCCACGAACCTGGAAAATGTAGGGAGCCTCAAGAGGAGACGAGCAGCCAGAGCCAGCCAGGCCTGAGCTGTCCTGTCCTTACGCTTGGCTTTGGAATTTGGCAGCAGAGTTTCACACACCTGCTGCCGTCGCTTGAGTGAGTGCATGTGTACAAAACAGTCATAGCACTTCATGCATCATTTTTAACTATAATGAGACCTCTGAGGTGCCTAACGGCTGTGCTGATCCGAGAAGCTAAAGGAAATTGTGATTGTTGTGCAATATTAGGACCGGCTTGTTTGAGCCTTCGTGGAAGAGCTCCATTAGTTTAAGATTAGAAGAAGGCCACACCATCTGTTGTAAAGATCTCTCTTGTTGCTCAGGCCAGTTCTTAATCTGATTCCAAATTTGGGACTTGTCTGGTGCTTCCGTGAGATGGATGGTGTTCTAAATATATTTATTTGCCGTGTAAAATGAATCAGCAGTACAGGATACCCCCCGATGTAACTGTGAAAAGCCAGAGCTACAGTAAACTGCAAATGCATTGAGCCTTTACATTTTAATATTTTAAATGTTTTTTCAGGCTTTCAATATATTTTCCAAAGTTTGACTGTATATTTTTTATTTTCTGCCCACTCCTTGCACCTAACCATGATATTGCATTTTTGAGTGATTGTACCTGAAAAGCAAGAAAAGTGAACAAGCGGTGGTCAAAGAAAATGCTTTATGCCATAAAACCTTTCTACTACAGATAAACATTAATATCTTAATTTGATATGTTTTAGAATTGAAGAGAAATAGTGCAAGACTTCCCTGTAAGTATTCAAATAAGGTCAAGATGAATAACACTTATTTATAATTTAAAGGACAAGTTAAAGATTCTGCACAGTAAGTGACGGTTTTAACATGAAAAAATAATTCATAAACATACATTTTCGATTTATTTATTTTCTTCTACTTATCTGTGGCTCTAGTCAATGGTAATGGGCACTTCTACCTATGTTGTGAAAACTAGAAGCAATTTAAATGAAAAACCACAGTGAATTACAATGGTTAAGCTGATATCTGATTCCTGGCTAATGAGATAATAATTTAAGACGTAACATATCAAGGGTGTGAGGAAGACAGTTGGTCATTTCAAGTACTTTTAACATCTGTAGAGTCAACAGTATAAATATAAATATATTTAGATAACTGTACTGCACTGACGGTACGCAGCATTAACTACATATATCTGCATCACCGACATAAATATCTCTTTATTGCCCAATAAACTTACAATCAAGGCCTTCCTGCCTCTCAATCAGTTCTAAGCGTTCACTATTTTCACACCCCCACACTGACTGAACCAAGAGCACATGAAAAGCGAAACATTTGCTCCACAAACAACCTGCTAGATCACAGGCAAAAACTATACTCTGGGTCAACGACCAGCAGGACCAACGTGCCTTTCACTCGAATTGGCACACTGATGACTGTGATGACGAGCAAACAAACAGCAATACTCACTCAGAGTTGGGGTCCGCTTTCAGGAAAGTTTGGATGACCAGCGGCAGCTCTGATTTAACGATGTACAGGTAGCTGGACATAGCTGCAAAAAGAAAAGAAGAAGACGCAAACAAAATATTGTTTAATTCAAACCCGAGAATGACTAGTCAGGATAATTTAATGTTATGACATACTTATTTACCTGCAGTTATTACTTGAGGTAATAACTAGGTAATAAGTAGTCTGGTAGATTTCACTATTATTATTACTGTTCTCATAGTCTCTTTTCACTATATAATAAGGGATTTCAGCTTTTTTATCAAAAGTCTTTCGACATTAATAAAAAAATAAATTATGACCACTGATTATTTATCATCAGCCAAACAGTCTTCAGACTGGTTGCACTTTTAATAAACCATTCATATAAAATTATCTTATCTCTAAATTAAGTGATTTAATTGAATATCTTTGGATTAAAAAAAAGTTTTATATTAAAAAAACAACTAATGTAATTTATTATCAATTTAAACAGGGGCCAGTTTGTCTCTCAAATGTTTCAGTTTGGGACTTCTACCTACACGCACTGTATGAGCAGCCATCTCTAATTTACTCACCACAAACAAAACAGCTGTTTACCAGCAGGCTTCTTACTGTTTTCTCGTAATATTTCTCCATACCCCATACTTATCACAAAGAACAAAAACTAAAGTAATACCGGTGATTTAGGTGGATGTCATTATCTGTTTGAGGGTTTAAAGTCAAGCCAGTTTCATGGTCTATAATTCTTGCTCGTAGAGTTGAACTGTACACAATAAAATTCCCATCATAAATTTGATGAGAGTGCCCACCTCCAATGTTCTGCAGGGTGATTGCAATACCAGCAGCCATTTTTCCAGGAGTACCAAAGGCCCTGTAGCCCAGCTGTTCATAAGAACGAATACCTGGAAGGAGATTACAGACAATTACAGCCAGATAGATTTGTTGAGATCCTCCTCAAAGCAATACAATGAAGCCACTTTTAAAAAAAGCAATAAAACATAATCAAATTTATCAGGTAACTGGTTCAGTATTTGTCAGGACATTTTAAAATTAGCTTCATGTCACATGATATTTTTTTTTTACATTATTAGATTCTTTCCATATGATCCATTGCAGCGTTCAAAAAGGTTGGCAGGAAACCTAATCTGTTCATCTGTAAACAATCCAACAAAATGACCAAAGTTCCCACAACTGTTCCGTTTTATCCAAGGCCTTTATATGTTAAGAAATCAAACAAAAGTTTGTAGGATTTGATTAGAAAATCCTACAAAGTTTTATATATATAAAAAAAAGTAACACAAAACTCACCCACGATGCCAGAAGATTTGAGCAGCAGATGAATGGAGTAGGATGACAAGGCTGCAACTCCAGTCAGAAGAAACCTGTAACAAAGTTGGTTGTAAACCCATTAATACCAAGAATAATTTGTGTTTTGTTTTTACGTTGTATTCTGCCTGTCTTCTTGAGTCCGTCTTTACCTATTTAAATATGAGAACCTGGACTCCTGTTCATGGTTGATTAGACTGATTCCAAACAATATTTATTACTTCAACATCAAGACCTTTAAATGAGACCATTATTCCATCCAGTTGATCAAAAAAATCTGTTGTGAATCCCAGAGGAGTACTGAAATGATATGGATCAATAATCTCTTTTCCTTTTCAGTGGCACAGAAACCCAAACACAATTGGGCACAAAGTTCTGATAAGTCGGTGTGCGTTCACAACCTCAGCCTTTCTTGTCAAGACCGTTCTAAAGCCCATTACGAACACGCTGGGATCATTATGGCCACAGTTAATGAGAAAGTCATTAAGGCTGAGCCAGAATGACTTATATCCTGCACCAATAATTACATCTTAATTAGGTGATTGAGAGTTTGTGAATCATTTGGAAATGGCAGCCGTTCAATGTAAACATTTTTGGTTCCAGAACCTATTGAACATGACAAACATTTTACCTTTAGTCATTACTTCTGGAAGATTACAGTTTCCAATAATAAGGAATACTTTTTGGAAATATACAACCATATTTAGAGTGTATATTTATACAAAATATAATTTGTTGTCATTGTTATTTTGGTCATTAAATCTTAAAGGGTTGATAAAAATACATCCGGATTTTTAGAACATTTTGAAAGGAATAATGAATGAATAAACTATGGATTAATATTTATTGGCATGTAAACAACAGTCAGTGTTTTCTGTTCACTCTCCTGCAATCGACTGTTTGCGTTCTCTGTTGCAACACAAACAACATGACTGAGACGTTGAGAGTCATAGAAGGACAGCAACAGCCTGCACAGCTCAGGTGAAAGTAACCGACCTGTCCACATGTCTCACTGTGGCCTGGAGGTTTGGTTATTCTGAGCTGTGTCCTTTCTAGGACCTCTCTGTGGTAGCTGGGGTCAGATCAGAGTCTGAGAAAAAGGGTTATGACTAGAAGTGGGCATATCAGAGTGTTCTGAATTAGCAAGATGCCCAGTGACACATTAAAAATGAACCCTTCAAAAAAAAAAAGGTCATTAATACAGGCTGCTTATTTAGCTAGGATTTTGCAGGTCATCACAACAATGACCAAAGATTATTAGATTATTCATTTTGGGCTGCAGTTACAACTAAATACATTTCATATTAACCAGTAATGTGTACCTTGCAATGGAGTAGTTGTTATTGTCATATTTGCATATGTTGTTTGGCACTATGGTTTCTTGGTTCTCTTGTTTCCTTCTTTGTCATCTCTTTCTGCAGGTGCAGAAGTAGACTTCTAGTTGTTGTCTTGTGTCCTCTATCCATATACATGCTCAAAATATGTATCCTGAATTTAATGAACTGTAAGTAGAATTAGAAAATACATGAACTATTTTCAAAATGAGCAAAAGTATATTATGCTCTGATGAATTATGAAACTAATAATTTCTTCCAAAATTGTTATTTTCCTTGTTTAGAAAGCGGAACGTAAACCTCCAGAACACCATGACATGTAAACACGAACCAGCTAGTACCTTTGGGGTGCTTTTAGAAAATGAACAAAGCAAATTCTACTTGATCCCAATGCTCACACTGTACAACAAGAGTGCTTCAAAAGGGACAGACACACTTCACATCATCATGTTAATGCTTAGACCCACATGACATACATTTCTCAATGCACAACATACCTGGTAAAATGCAAAGGCAGCTTTAAAAACATAATGAAGGACACAATAGTGATGTCACTACAAAAATAACCTAAGTCATCCTGACAAAGTGATACATTCTTGAAATCCAGGAAATTATGTCCGTATTAGAACATGCAAAAATTTGTAATTTTTGCCAAATCATGTCATTCAAAATCATCTTAAAGTTGACATTTAAAATTATTTACTCACAAGAAGAGAAGTATGCCAGTGTTCGCCATGGCATAAGCCAATCCTAGGATGCCACTGCCCATAATCGCATTGCCAAGGTTGAAGACTGACATCCCAAAGGAGGTCTTTCCTTCAAACTGGGAATGAATTTAATACAACAAAACAAAACAAGAGCAAGTCTTGAATGACCACAATGTCTGCAAATTTCAAACTATAACAGCACTGAGTGCTATAAAAATGTTCCTTACTGCTGCGGTTTTAGTTATTCATATTATTTTATAAAGAAACTTCCTGTAGGCAAAATGTCATGTAAAGTCCAAGAAGCTTGTATGAACACAGATTACTCCAAAAAACACAGAAGAGTCTGACAGCTCTGCAGTAGCAAGCACAATAAAGAGCTCAGACATTATTTTTTGAAGTATTGAGTAAAGCACTTTCATTCTCTTAAATTTATTGCCAGTCCCTCTTCATACCCAAATATACATTCTCGAAGAAAAACAAGTTAACTTTTTAAATAAAATGTTTCAGGTGTGATAACAAAACATAAGTCAAATTCAACAAAATATTGGATTTTATAGGGTATTTAAAAATACGTACATCTGTGAAACGTGTGGGTTTCTTTCCATGTGTATTGGGTAAGAACTCCTCACTCTCAAGTGCACCTTCAGGGTCATCAAACCTGAGGATCAAAAGTACAGCAATGAATTTGCAGTTTATTGACCTCTGACGTGTGAAAACATCAGAAAATAAAACTTCAACACAATTCTTAACAAACATACCTCAGAGTTTCAGTGCCATTTCTGCACAAGGATCCGTCAGACGAAGTCAGCACAAAAACAAGGCAAACATGCATTTAAAGAAATGTACATTTTTGGACAAATACGTCATACTTCATGTTGCTAACCACATGAAGTCAGCTACATATTAAACATAAATTAAGGAGCCTGATTTATGATAAATATTGGTTCACTTGGTTTATTGTGTAGTGCCAAGAATGTGGTTTTCACAAAAGTATAACCACAGAGAGACAAAAAGGAGCTAAGTATAAGTAATTGATACATGCTGTGATAACAACAAGGCAACCATTCATCTGTGTGAGAAAAATGTGAGACAACTCACTGATCTTCTGCTAACAACGTCTTCATTGGCACACACATGTCATCTCCGAGATCATGGGGTTTTCCATTGGATAATATGTTCATCTCTGACTCGGCAGGCTCCATCTTTTAAGAAATATCAGATTCTCTTTGACCTGCGTGTGTTCGGTGAAGGAGGGCTCCAGATCTTGAATTTCTAAAAACAAAGAAGGTTATCAGATCATTTCTCTCACAGGACAGCCTTCAGTAACAATACAAAGGTTTCTTTATACATCTGTGAAAACAAACAAAGAAAAAAAAACAACTTAAGAACAAAATTGTACATGATGCGATTTATTTTATCTCGAAGAGAAAAGAAACTATTATTCACATTACTTTGTGACATTGCTACTTTGTGACTGTCTTTTGGTAAAATTTAAAAAAAGTCAAAATTTTGTTTTGTTGAATGTAACAACACTTTCTATGGATTATTATTGAAAGCACTGAGTCATAACAGTATGAACAGTATGACAAATCATTTTAAAATTGTAACTTTGGACTTGCTTGCGACCTCTTGAGTGACCTCACCTTTTTATGTATTTTTCTACAAAGTTAAGACTGAAATAGGGTTGATCTTTAAATTCTAATGACAGCAGCTCAAAACTAAATTCACATTTAAATGAATCTGAAACCAGCAGACAGGAGGGGCATTCATAATATAAAATAAAGTGTTGGCACTTGTTTCTACTATGTACTTTGGGTACATAGTAGAGAACATCCCAGAAGTATCTCTATCACACTTGGATCTGATTCAGTTAGGGTTCACTGTGACACTTTAGATGATTTTTATGTGAATTGGGATATCAGTGCCCGACAGAGTCAATTCATCTGTTTGATCTCTGTGGGGCAGATGAACAACACACACTTACTTTTGACATAGTGACCCAAAAGACTTCTATCGTCACTCACATCATTGTTGCAACATATTGCAATACGTAAATGTTTGAATACGTCCTTGAGCTCAAAAGAGCCCACAAGCTGTAATGTCATCCCAGAAAGTTTGTAGGAGTTTCGCGTTTCGGTAAAGAGTAAAGCAAACAGTCAAAGGGATCACCGCACAGTCAAAGGTCAAAGTCTGAATTTTTAGAATTTTGCAGTTCCATGTAGTAGAAATCTACTAATTATCTGAACTACTTCTAAAACTACAAAAAGACAAGGTTGTGTAATGCTGTAAGATCACTCTGAGTGTTATTCATACAATACAATCAAACCAGGTAGACACCATTCAGCTGCAGCTGTAGTAGAAACGTGAGGTAGAAATAAAATAACTGCATGACATTGAGTAAAACATTTAAACAGTTGTAGCCACACAGAATATTTTCTATACTCAATAAAAAAGAACTATTGGAAGAAGGATCCTGGCTTATCTCCTGAATGAGTCACTTGGTTTACTCAGGTTAACCTTTCCCTTATCAAAGCTTCAAAAATAGCATCACCGCATCCTGTTTCAGCCCTGATACTGATTATTTACACAGAGGTATAGGGGGAAATGTTTCATTCAATATAAATCTAGGTCACAATGAATCCTGTAGGATTTTAGTGCTGAGAGAAGCCACTCTTGTAACTGAACAAATACATAAATTGGAGATGTTTTCACATCATTACGGTCCAAGAAACTGGATTTGACAGAGCTTGATGGGCATCCCCAAGTTCAGCATGCAATATGCTGCCTTTAATTTGAAATGTATTTAAACTTAAATACATTTAATTTGAAATGTATTTAAACTTAAATACATTTAAGTATTTAAATGTATTTAAATACTTAAATGCATTTAAGTATTTAAATACTATGCATTTGCATACTTAAAATGCATTCATTTCACAACTATGCATTCAGACTTCCACTAAATTCATAGTTTCTTGTTTCTTGTTTTGTTTTTTGGCAACTCTGACTTCCACACAAAAACAGAGCGCACTCTGTGAACTGTATTGAAAGGTTTTGACAATTTTCAGATAACATATATCTGTAATATAATCAGAGCTGATTATATCTCATCAGCTCTGCTTGGTTTATATCTCGTTGAACTAGAAACACCATTATGCTGTACAGTATGTATGTGCGTACATGTTATTTATGTGTTTTAATGGATAGGATTGAGATAAACAACCTGTCATCATTTTGATTTGTTAATTGTAGTACCAAAACAAACAACAAATTTCATTTTTCAAGAGCAGACTTGTGGTGCTCATTGTTACTTTCAAGTCAATAATCATGTAGTTCTTTATACAAATAGATACTTTACAGCAATATGTATCATTTAGGTATAAAGCGATACCAATAAAGTGAAAACGAATCATATATATTGGCCAACTGCAAACTATAGATACGCAGCCCTATATGTTATTAAATTTAGGGTTATTTAAAATGCATTCATTTCACAACTATGCATTCAGACTTCCACTAAATTCATAGTTTCTTGTTTTGTTTTTTGGCAACTCTGACTTCCACACAAAAACAGAGCGCACTCTGTGAACTGTATTGAAAGTTTTTCACAATTTTCAGATAACATATATCTGTAAATTATACATCACTTCCTCCCCTCGGTTTAGTTTACTTTAGATTGCTGGATACTCTGTTTGCTTTTTCACAGTAAGCAAACCGAATCAGGGGTAACTTCTTAGTAAACCGAAATTCACCTTTTCAGAGATCAGATGAGCTTTCACTCATGCAGCACTCCAAGATACAAACTCTGTTTACAGTGGGCAAAAGAGGGTTGGGGTGAAATTATAGAAATAGAGAGATCCATAGAGAGATCATAACCACTGTTTTCAGTTCACCAATACGGGATCAGTGAATTTACAGTAAATAGGACAAGGTTCATCACTGATGACGTTTCCATCTCTGACATGTTGCATGTTTAATGCATGTCAGGAACTCGTTTTTTGGCATAAAATATATTTTGATCTTTCAAAATAAATTAAATGCTAAGATCTGGACTTTTTCATTGAAGTGAAATGACAAAAATTAAAAGAAAATTGTTCTTTTTTTTGTTTATTTTCTTTTTACTTTGATTTAAATGTTAGTAGCTGTTTAAAGTAAATGTTTTCAAGAAAGTTTGATGGCTTTTTTTCACAATGCAGTTACTTATGAGTAAGATTTCTTAATAAAAGTTGATTATATAGAGACATTTATTGAGAAAAACTTTTATGTGGATGATGGCTTAGTCAGTGTGCCATCAGTTGAGGAAGCCAAGAAGTTGATCATTGAATCACAAGAGTGATTGCAGACAATAGATCTCGTCTATTGTCTGCATTTAAATTAATTTGGGTTCATACCTTAATAAACAAGCCATTTCCACAAAGATTTGAATGTACATTTTCACAATCTGTCTTGAATGTAGAGTGAAAATGGCACAATTCAAAACTGCCACATCAATAAAAAGGTTAATCTGAGAATGCAATCACTTAATGTTAAATTTACAAATAATTTCTTGACACATCTGAAATATGTTTCAATAACTTAAAGATATTATGCAAGAATTATGAGAACAAATACTGCTCCCTTAATTGAGAAAAGGACAGTATGATATTTCATTGACTGCCAGAAAGTTGACCTGACATGTTCCTGGAGCTGGACTCAGTTCTGTTGAGCTACGAGTCATGGCATGAAGGTTAGAGGTCAGATTTAGAGTTACCGTTCAAATGTCACACGGACATTTGAATGGTTTGAACAAGAAGAAGGGTGAACAACAGTTAATTAAAGTGTAGGTCCTTATTATTAAGTATCTCAGAGGAGCTGTCCCCACTTACTCTTGTGTCATTTTAAAAGCAGGGAGCAATGAGTATGGCGGCAGTTTGTGGCGCATCGGCACGTGGGCATGAGATAAACAAGGTTCAAGCAAGTGCACCTGGCAGCACTAGCTCATCCTGCAACACGTGCCTGATGCAAACAAACCAGCACATCATCGTGTCCTGCATTATCAGCGGCGGCAGCATATTTCATTAACCGCAACCATGGGAATACATGCCACTGGTTTTTAAGGGGAAACAAGATGCAGGCTTGAATTCAGACAGAAATAAATGATCAATGCATAACATCTATGCATGCTGATGAGAAGTATTTCCAAAAAAAACATGCAAATTCATAATTTATATAAAACCATATAAAATGAACAACCTTGTAGTCCATTAATATCACAATTAAACTATCATAAAAGCAAATTTTAAACATAAACCAAGAGTTGAATATACAACCTATTGTTGATTTATGAAGTTTTTGCTTTTTTATTTCTAAGATGACTGTTCAAATATTAAACAACTCATATACAATTAAGTCCCAAATTAATTTTATCCCTGGTATTTTTTTTTAATTATTTATACAGTAGTTTTTTTGGGGGCCAGGGGATTCATTCAATCAAGAGGATTGGTTATAACTGGAAATGAAGAAGACATTTCTCAAAAGATAGCAAGGTAATTTAAAGGAATCTAATTGTTTTAAAAATTTATCTTTTTTATTCATAAAGATTGTTTAAAAAAAATCTTTATTGGCACTGAAGAATAAAATACTCCTTCCAATTCCTGACAGTCTGTTTGCATGTTTCCCGAGGTATTTTGATGATTCAATTCTGGTGATGAGCTTCAAACCTTTGGATTTGAAGGCCCTTTTACCGTCCAAAGATTCTCAATCACATCCATATTGGAACTTTGGCTGTACAGCTCGAAAACATTAATATTACTTCCAGTCAAAGCACCAGAGTTTGGCGATTTTAAAGATTACTTTAACTTTAATTCTATGATAGTTAACTTTGGGCTCAATTATAATACCTAACACAACTCTGAAAAATCACAACATACGTTATAGTTACAACTGGATTTTACTGTATTATTTGGATTTTTGTTGTGGATGTGACTCTGAATTTTTCCTTCATGATCAATACTGTGAGCTGCAAATGTGATATGAGCTAAAGATGTACGTACATCAGAAACAGTTGACGTCTGCTTCAATGACAATAGATCATTACATAGACTGACATGAAAATGACTCTTCTCTCTGAACATCTCACCCCTTATCAGTCAGTCAGACCATCAGACAAACCTAATCAGCGAAAAGTTAAAATGTTGTCATCCTGATTGAACTGCAGACAGGAAGCAAAACTGGTTCAATATGTTTCCCGAGCTTCCAATAACGTTCGTGTTGGCAAAAGATTTAGAGGCCTC